GACATCCGCCACATTTCTGGAGCAAACAACTCCGCAGCCGACGCACTATCTCGAATAGCTTCGATAAACTATATCGAGGGTATTGATCTCGTTGAACTAGCTCGGCGTCAAAAGGAAGACCTTGAGCTGCATCATGAGTTGTCGTCCACAACTCTCAAACTGCGACTTTGTCCTGTTGGATCAGACAAGGATGCAATTTTGTGCGATGTCTCTGCTAGTCAACCACGCCCAATAGTTCCGAAGAGTTGTCGACGCAACGTCTTCAATACGTTGCACAAACTCTCTCATCCAGGTGTACGAGCCACCATTAGGCTTATCGCACAACGTTTCTGCTGGCCTGGGATGAACAAAGACGTTAAGGAGTGGGCCCAGTCGTGCTTAGCTTGTCAAAAGTGTAAAGTCACGCGACACACGAAAAGCCCTTTAGGCTCATTTCTAGCCCCAGACATGCGTTTCGACCACGTCCATATAGATATTGTAGGACCCCTACCAGAATCTAATGGATGTACCTACCTTTTCACCTGTGTTGATCGTTTCACACGATGGCCGGAAGCAGTACCCATTAAAGATATTACTGCCGAAACAGTTGCTCGTGTTTTCGTCGAAAGATGGATCGCGAACTTCGGATGTCCATCCTACGTCACAACCGACCGTGGGCGCCAATTTGAGTGTGGACTATTTCACGCTCTAACGGCACTTTTAGGTTGCACTCGGTTCCGAACGACAGCCTACCATCCACAAGCAAATGGCATGGTAGAGCGTTTCCATCGACAGCTGAAAGCTTCCCTTTCAGCTACAAACATACCTCAGTGGACCGAGGCTCTGCCTCTAGTCCTACTAGGTATTCGTAACGCGTTGAAAGTTGATGCTGGATGCACTCCTGCAGAACTCGTCTATGGGACCACTCTTCGCCTACCAGGTGAGTTTGTTTCCCCTTCAACTTTCAAACATGTTTCCGACAGGGCATCTTACGTGACTAGGCTTACAAACGCAATGCGTTCAGTTAGGCCTTCTCCGATTAGACCGCAAACGACTGATGTTTTCGTCCACCCCAGTTTACAGAAGACATCACACGTGTTTGTTCGCCACGACGCTGTTCGTCGACCACTTGAACCACCCTACGACGGGCCGTTCAAAGTGATTAAGCGACATGAGAAATTCTATATAATTGAGCGAGACGGACGTGAAGATACTGTCAGTATCGACCGTTTGAAACCAGCTTATTTCGAAGGCAACCCCATTGTAAGTGACGTTTCAGCTCGCTACATCCGACCGACGGATGACTCAATTATCGAAATTCTCGACGATGTGCCTGGTAATGCACAGCTGCAACAACCATCGGCGCAACAAAAACACGATCAGGTCGAACCGTCAGGTTCTTGGAGTATTTGAAGTCGTCTTCAACTTAGTGGTGTGAAATAAGGTGTACCAACCATATTTTTTTGAATTCAGTATTCCTTCTCCGAGGCACTATTTTTCTGATTCACTAGCAATGAGAAACTCCTCGTACGTTTTGCCTTTTCACATCAATTTTTTATTACCATGTAATGAAACTTTACAAAAAGACGGTGAAAATAAGCGCAAACTTTATTTTCGATACATTTGTACATACATAATTCCCACTTTTACGAAGCGTTTTCATGGCATTGAAGACTTTCATTTATATTCCAGGTGCAACGAGCACTGGATGGAACGTCAAAAGGAACTGAGGGCCGCGATCGACGTCCAAATCGATTTATTGTATTATATTATTTACTTGCCATGACACCCTAGAATAAGTCCAGACAACCGGGAGCCACTTCACGCAGTGAGCCCATCGGAAGAGTTTTACCAGTGGAGAAACCACCGGTGTTTTACTACCGGCTGGTATCCTCTTAGGGTTGTCGCCAACCACTAGGGGGTAGTGAATTGTAGCGTCACACACCTCCACAAAATCAATAGCCTACTCTTTGACGACTTTCGACATTAATGCTGACCTTGATAGTTTAACTGGACTCGCTAAGCTGAAGGCACCCGGTCAAGCATCCTCGCCATTTGGCACGCTGTCGTGTTACGTTGCACTGCTCGTATTCAACTCTCTAGTCAGTTAGTTGGAACGCATCGGTATTTTGGCACAATCACCCAAATATACTATTCAATCCGACTACGCTATCGTCTTCTTCCTTGGTTTCTAATTTGTGCGTATACAGCAAGCTCGAATAGTAAGTGATTAGTCTTTGCGTCTGTCAAGTTCGCACAAGGACAAATCCTAGAAAACCATTTCGCTTACAAAAAGTTCACAGGCCTGTAATCCCACTACCTCCAGTTCTAGATATGTGGAACTCTTCGTATCACTCAACTGCGGAATGGCTAGTATGAGCACTAGAGTCTCTGCATCGTGAATTGGTGAGATCCAGTGTAAAGGATGTATTCATTTTAATAGGAAATGTCGAAAATATGAATGTTAAAGACAAAAGGATGATTTCATGGGATATAACATCATTTTTTACCAATATTCTGCTTGTAGAACCAGTCAACTACAATCAAGATGAATCGAACGAACGATAGATAAACGTAGGAATCCCACCTGAAATAGTTAATAAATTGCTGCTAAGATGCACCGTGATTGTTCACTTTATGTCTAATAACGAATTCTATGGACAAGTGGATGGGGTTCCAATTGACTCTCCTCTGGGTACTATGCTAGCAGATATCTTCCTGACAAGACTTGAAAACGGCCCACTTAAGGACGCACTGATAAACTAGACTATTATTTGCAGTATATAGATAATGCATTCATCATTTGTAATAATGACTGCAATAAAGACCTTTTGAATACCTGCAAGAATGCTCACCTAGCTATGAAGTTCACCTGTGAGCAAGAACAGGAGGATAGTATTTCTTTCCTAGATGTACTCCTCACCAGGAAAATGAATGGATATATTAGCAGGAATAATTTTCGAATGAACAAACAGACTTGTCAATATATTCACTTCCTGGTTTTCAGGTCAATTCGATATTGAAATAAATCTGGCCAAAGGCATGAGCAATAGTATAAGTAGCATAAGTCTTAAATGTTACCATATGGGATATTTTCTAGTCGGATTGAAGTGGCGCCCACCGACTCCTTGTCTGCCTGTGTTTTTCTAGGTTCCGTTTGTTTTTCCTTTCATTGTAGCTTATTGTCATTCGGTGGATACAACTCAGTTATGCCATTGCAGAAATAAAAGTGTGCAATGCGTATTTCTTAATATTTTTATATTTCAACAAAGAGCATTTTTAAGTTACATGAAGTGCTTATAAACGACATGGGGAATGGCAATTTTTATTCTGATGGTCTTCCAATGTGTACTTGCTGCTTCGTGATTGTGGATGAATGTCAAATGATGCCGCATGCCTGAAATTTGGATGTACATAAAGAATCAATGCTTTCCTAGGATAATTATGAAAATTCAGGACAAAATAAAGCCGTAGTGGTTGACCTACACCTGGTCACTTATTGATATTTACCAACGAATTCCCACTACTTTCAGTCAGTTGGCGACCTCCCATCACTGTGTACACTCTTTTCCTGTCATACGAATGCCGAATGCATGCACTAAGAACTGACAGCACGATACACTGTTAAGATAAAATGATAATCAATGTTGTCTTGCGAGACAGTGATTTCAACCGTCATCACAGATGCGATTCAGAAAGCTACAACCTCTTATTCACTGATGATAAAGATAACACTGGGGCATCGACATCACACTGTATTGTCGTGAAATGACGCTTTCTGGTGAATAATTCCCCGATTGCCATGAGATTCGTTCAGCCAATATAGTTTTTGCGGTTACATATTTGCTGACGGTAACGCACTCACGGCCTCAGATGAATCTCTCTTGAAATTATAACGGAACTGCATTCATCATATCATTTGGAGCATTTCAATACCATAGGTGTTAAACACATTTTTCGAGATCATCTATATGTATGATTGCTTCATGTTGTTGATGTCGCTTGCACATAACTGACGATCTGTCGAATTCTCACTACCTGAAGCATCTCAACCTGAAGCTACTGGAGATGATAGGCGAGAAGCAGTGGGATGATAAAACTGTTTCAGCTATGAGTTGGTAACACCGTTATCACAACTTGTTGTACCTACGTCGTCTTTCCCAAACAACTTGGTAAGATATTTAACCCGATTGGTTCTCTGACCACTCAACTAATCAGTCGATCAGGATAGAGAATATAAACAGTGCTCCAATTCATTTGTCAACACTTAATCAATCAATGATCATGTGGTTGACAAACCTTGCCTACTATTGTCGTTGATGAATAATGGACCTGGATAGAGCAACAGATTCGGAATGAACAGAATTTACCATTCATTGACATGCTTTTATTTCACTGGGTTGCAGTTACATCCAGCTGACTAGTCCCAAATAGGACGAAACGCGCGTCCTGGATTCTTCTGCTAGCCACAACCAAGCAAATAGAATGAATTCAATTTACGATGTAACTTGACGTTGTCTGTTTTTTTTCACGAGACAATATTGAAGCGTTTATTTTTCTTTCTAGGTCATTTTATGGTAACAACCTTTTCTTCAAGTTTGCTCAGTTCTGTTTCAGTTTCTACTTGTGGTCGTATCTGTAAATCTATTAATTTTGTGATCAAACACCAGTGGAATTTTGTTCGCCTTCAGAAACCAGACTGTTGGCTTGCAATATTCTTCGTAAAACCTGATGAATCCATTCTATCTCACATACCTTCAGGAGTGAGAAAGTGGAGCATGATGGACCTCCTTTGCGAAATCGCTACTTTGCAATTTTATAATTCACTCTATGTTTGCAGACGGAAAATAATAATCTAAAGCAGGTGGAGTGTTCACAGACGTGTCTTTTTTCCAAATGGATGCACACATGAATGAGAGATGAGTAAATACTTTTTAGCCTCAGATGAATAGATACATATCTTACTTAGCAAAATATTGGTATTTTACGGAAATAGAAGTTCAGCAATCACTTACTCGCATTTAAATATGTTCAGAATAACGCACTGTGTTAGGTAATTGAGGAGAATTTCCTCTAGTACCGATTTCGGTTGTGTTTTCCTTGACTAGAAAAAGTAGAAGGTATTAAAACCAGATCGCTTGAAAGTATGAACACACACAACAAATTGTCTTAGAAAAATAAACTATTTCAGTAGATGCTTCGCACAAACTACTACCGATTTTTCATATCTAACCAATTATCACAACATGTAGTCAGACTTGTCTATTTTCAGACAATCCGACCAATCTGTTTGAATGAAGTAGACAAAAGTATTCGATCCAAAGCAATGTGGTTAAACTGAAGTTGTTGTCCTGTTGAATGGTGTCAGCTATTTATCGGTAAGCATGCAAGACGCCTGAGGAAAGAGAATCGAAGTCACTCCCTTTACACCTCTTATTTACTTTCCTTAATATGGTGAAACTTAATTATGAAACGCCTTCATATCTGTACTTTACTTTTTCCATATCGACAAAATATTTTCATTTATGGGACTTACAATGAATAAACATTCTCGCATTTCCTGTCACGGTCTCTTCAGTCTACATCGTGGTATTTATGGAGTGGTTGCTAAGGCGTAATAATAGCATAGATATATGTACTTATGTTGTGAGACGCGAAGGATTCAGAATGCGCCCTATACATGGAAGTTTTCAATGTATCTATTATTGGGTTGAAAGATGTAAGGACAAAGACTTATCGACAACTACTTAGTTAACAGATGAATTCAGTGCAATACAGTGAAAATACAAGGTACAAAAATAGTGACCCAGCTAATTAATAGAATAAACCAGCACTGATATTCTACACTAATACGTCCAACATTAATTACAAAGATAACAAAACTAAGCTCAATTAATAACTCTTGTCTCTGAACTATGTAGCAAAATACCTTCAGTAGAAAATATTCGACCATAAATTGCAGTTTAAAATGACCATTGCTAGTACACAAAGTGGATCACTTACTCGGAATCTGAACTGTTATCACTTGAATGGTTTCGACGATATTTATGTGAAGGGTTGTTTGAGCCATGTCTTCCTTGGCTGTTTTGATCAAAAATTTGGTGAAAACATATTTTGATTCAATCATATTTCCACCATCAAATTTATCTCATTTCATTATCAAATGAGAATGAAAACACGGTAGAAAATGACAGATAATGTCATAACAAAATATTTAGTGAGTCTTCAGCGGAAAACAGATAAAATACAGGAATAAAACAATCAGTCTCTATGGTGTAGTTGGTGGTGCTTGTGATGTGCTTTAAGAACGCAGTAGTAAGTTTTATGAAGGGCGAAATGGTTGCAATCTTACTGGCCTTGTATTCTGAAACCATATTCTCCTACTAGATTTTCAACAGTACACTTTTACCACTATGAGTAACCAGCATGGGTCGCAAACTAAACTTTAATCTCTCATCAAATATGCTCTTGATACTTTTGTCGTCAAGCGGAGTGAGGAGAACCTACCAAACAGCACATTTCTGATGAACAGTTAGGTGCAGACGTGCGCAATCTCAGAACGATTTCCAACTGGAGCGTGAGCAGGCTCTTCAAAATAGAGTAAATCTCCTTTCGATTCTATACCAATGTAGTAAATAACAATTTGATTCGTATACACTAATATTCAGAAAAATGTTTGTGATCATTGAGCCAGGTAGGGTCTTTCCTAATGCTGAGGGCTGAAGCTGGTCGAAAAGAAGAAATTGTCAAGGCAGAATTGTGAGAGGGATCACTGACAACCAATCTGTCGTTAACAACTACCAGAAATATCTTCTAGATGGCCTTCTGACTGACTTGTCCCTCTTACTTGGACACTGAAATCAAGCACCAGTATCGCTATCCCTGAGTTTCCGGTTGCTTAGAGCAGGACTACACATTTATAGCAAGGTGTATCATCAAAATGAAATCAGGAGATACATTGAAGAGTGGCGATTCTGGTAGTCACACAGTGGTGAGCATACGTTGCTGACGAACTGCTGTTACACTTTGTAGATGCCTTTCAGCCTCGAGTGTTTTTGATTGTAGACGAATCGGAATGCCTTGGATGTGCATCCAATGACTGTCACACCGCATCAAAGATTGAATGAAGTTTGTATAAAAGACAGTATCCCTCAACAGGCCACATCCATGTGTATCTACCAGTTCACCTGCTCCTAAATGAAGTTTGCCAACTTTAGGCGGCAAATTGAGAAGTAATGCTCGATGATAACAGGCTTATTAGGAAACCTGAAGATTCCAAGCACGGTCTCCTTAAGTGTGGGACATGAACACTTCATGTTTTAGTGATCGTCTGAGAAAACCAATTCACAGAAGCTTATCATCATGAAATCGTCCACCTGAATTTGTATGTATATGTGGCCACAGTGTGTAACTGTACAAAATTAAAGCTGGAATTTCCTCACTATGCTCTTCCTCATTGACATAGTATTCTTCGAGCTATCGATCGACGAACAAATCACAACCTTTAGTGATTACTTATCACTTCGTAATGGCAAAACGCCCAAGTATGGAAACATAACTTACTTTCGATGCTTTGATGAAACTCTAGAATATCGTCCTCCATGGTCCGAATCATCCTAGGATAAAAGTACAAGGGTGAAATTAATGGAATCACATAAATTGACATACATGCCTTTCATACTATGAACGTTGAGTTTAGACAATCCAGAGAATGAAGGAGAGTTCCAATCCAACTAGTAGTCTTCCCCTCACACGATGGTGTCGGAGTGCACAATCAAAGCCTAAATACTTAGATTCCTCATACGTAGGAAAAAGTCGCTTTACTTCATGAAGTGACTGTGATCTTTGGTTGACGTGATCAGCGGCTGCACTGTTTACATATTAGCACATATAGGAAGAGGTCTGCGCTAAGCCTAGAATACCACTGCATTCATTATCTTTTGGTAGATTTGGTGTGCCTATTTTTCACCGTTACGTCAACATAAATATATATTTACTAAAAAAGTAAGAAATGAGTTCCCACATGCGGCAAGTCAGACGAATATTGCAACTCTTGAGTTATCTGAGAGTAGATAAGACTTTAATCTGCTTTCTGTGCCTACAAATTGACGCCGAGTCCTTATGGGATATTCTATTGATTGGTTAACAGAATGATCAGTTGCTAATGATCATTCTCATACACGGATGTCGCCGTATGCCGTACTGTGAGCCTTCTCTGTGACAACAGTGTCATAGAATTACATATTACAAACGGATGCATGCAAGCCATTCATAATCTCGGTGATAATATTATGAAAATGTGTTCTCCCTCTCTGAGTTGCTTTGAATTCTGTTCTTTGAATATACTCAAGTGTGAGAGACAACTGCTTCCTGAGAAATACACGATCAGCGTTCTCAGCTGTAGAAAATGTGTTCAGCCATTTTGAACTAACTCAGACTGCATTTTTAGTACAACGGATCAATTTCTTACGATCAGTTTGCTTGCGTTACTGTACTAACTAACTCGTTTTACTCATTCGACCATTTGCCAATTCCAGAAGTATGTTATAAATGTAGTCTATTCTTTGGTAGTGATTGTTTATTGTGCTTCAACCCAATAAGTTCCCTGATGTTCATTTTCTGTCGTCACCTGTAAAACGAGCGAGTGGGACGGGAAATAGCACGGCCTTGTCTTACATCTTTTCATCAGCATTTCTCGAATCATGACAAAGCGCAAACTGAACCCTACTCTCTTGTTGTGATGATGAAGTGCGTCTGCAGAAACTCTGATGCTCATCTGCATTTATTCCGAAATTCAACTGAAATCTGCTCTGGTTAAGTATGAACAGGGTTGTTGTATGCTACTTATCCTGTTCAATGGCACACAAATATACTAACTATTGTAATTGCGTTAACCTTTTGCACGCTAAGCACAAAAGCTTATATGGTATTCTGTCAAAGATTAATCAGTTTTACAAGCTAAATTACATCAGTGTGGTTATGAAAACTTGTTTTCTTACCGAATCCGAACTCATGTGTTGTCTTCTATTCATATTATGATTGTAATTAGAACCCTGGCCAAACATTGGGTTTCCTCCGAAGCCTCTCGAAGCGCCATCGTAGTAGTTTTGCTAAAATAAATGTTTAAGATGTGGCAGGTAAATAATTTTCAAACATTTACTGATATTCATTAGCTCTGAAGACATTCACTGACTTATCTCAAAAATATTCATAATTTACGGGTTCGGTATTGCCATCAACCTAATTTTAAATTATTTTTGTGGCGTAATCAGCTAACGACTTTCTTACTATTTCTTAAGGGGAACATCGTGAAGGTTAATATCTGTTATCGTGCCCCAGGCTTCTTAACTTAAAACGTAAACTATACTGTAAAATAGATTTTTAAACACATGCTGCCCACGGATTGTTGCGAAAAGTAGTCTTTGTTACCGGACGAGTTGCCTTCTCGCAGCTAATCAATCTTCAAATGATCTCCAACAACATTCATTGTTTGGTCAAATACGAAGCACCCAGCCAAAGTTTCGGCTAAATGGTTCCTGACTTGATGTACCTAAATCCAAAACTATCTGTAAAACTAGCTACAACTGTGCTCACTTTTCAGCTGTAACATCTGCACTGGTCGTACACCTTTAGTAGTCTCGTATAACGTAAACTTTCTTTTCGTGTGTTTCACAGTAGCATCAAATGTTTCGAATGTTTAAATTAGGACACGAAACATGATCACATTAAGAAGGTAAAACAGTAAACTTGCTCCAATTCGCATACTAATCTATAATTCATGTCTGTCTGACTACCCAAATTCTGGTAGGTTGAATGAGATATTAACCCCCACTTTGAATAATTAGTTTCTAAGACGTCTTCCGGAAGAGGTGGTCTGGCAAGCTTTTTGATCGCTTCATATCAATTTTTATGCCAAAGGAAATCCAGATAAAAGCCTACAAATGTTGCTTTCATGCTTTTTAGTATGCCGTTGCACAAAGTGACTATGGTCAGGTTGTCTAGGGATATCAGAAGCTTCGAAATCTTTATTAATCTTTCCCACACCCTCCTCCGGATGGTCTATACAAAAATTAGCACCTCAAGTTTGTGCTTGATGCCTTTTACTGTTCCTCATGTACACTGAATAACAATCAAGCACCAGAAATCACTCATAGTTCGTTTTGCTCATGATTTAAAAGGCTGAAAAGAGGAAAATAATGACAATGCATATACTCTAAAAACGGATCTCAACAGCTTCTTAACTTAATAAGAGAGCACTGTGGTGCATAACATCAGAGGTAACTGTGCAATCAATTACGTGGAACATGTGAGTGGCAGGACCCACGTCATCGGTAGGACTCCCCTATTCTCAGCATTGACCTAGAACTTGAAGACCACAGCTCACTGTACCTTGGTTTCAGCTCAAAGTTTCAGTACGCTGTGACGACATTTTTCTTAACCTAAAGGAACCATAGTTCGAATCCAAACGACAGAACTGTATACAAGGATCACATTCCCTCACTTGAAAGGTAATGCAGGCTTCATTTAATTAATTTGGGCGGTAGAAACTTATACGACCCCTGCGACGACAAGATGGACATACAAGAAATTACTTAAAATATTAGGTTTCTTCTTCTCTTAGTGTCGACAGAAAAGGTATCTAGTAATGTTGTGCAATATCTTAGAAAATCGATTTACGTAAATTACTGACGTGCAGGACAATCCTTTTAGAATCAGTTCGAAGGACTGATTACTCGACGCGATAACCAGTACTTAATGACGACAGTGGTTGTTGTAAGCTTTCTTATGCTCTTACCAGCTGTTTCCACCTAGTGGGTAGGATAAAAGAAGAAAGATCACATCCAAAGCCATTTCCTAAAATTTTGCATAGCATAATCATATCTGTGACCTGTCAGAAATATCTTCTTGATGGCCTTCTGCCTGATAACCAACAGAAAATCTATACAGTCAATGACACAACAATCAAAGAAAACAACCAATCCCAGAGCACTTCGTCACGGCAAGCTGTTAAATCCCTCACGGAGAGATGTTGACAGCCCACTTCGTGCCGACGTTAGTGCTGATGATGTCGTCTAGAAAGACGATGAAAGCTTCATGACTAAACAACCCAGCTCAGAGAACACAACACAACCAAGACCATACACGTGAGCTACAAATATTCTCCACTATTTCATAGTATTTTTTTTCTATATAATTATGTTTCATTATCTGATTCGATGGGTCAAACTGTGGAGTATCCTTATTTACCGGATTTCATTTCGGACACAAATGAATTTTCATTAACATATCAAGATAACTCAACAAATTTCTGACATGTTTTATGTAGAATGAAAAGTAATCAAGTAAATAGCACTGTTCGACTGAGTGATAGATACATCTAATTAATCAACTAAAACGGGATTATCTTCTAACAAAGTGCCCAAGTATTACACCGACATATTTTCTTCCAGTCGTTCGTTAACTTCCTTATTCTAAGTGCCTGTACGTATATAATGCAACTTTCCTTTTTCACTTATTGTATCTTGACCTCTGACAGGAGTCTGTTCTAGAATGCCGTACCACTTCTGCTCTATATTCACGGAATTTCGTAACAAGAAAATGTTTCCTCCGCCACCATCATCTATCTTTTCCCATCGTCAAATGGGTCTCTTCCGATATTTGGAGAGTCGCAATAACCCATCGACGTAGAAAGAACTGGGTAATATAATGCGTTTTTCCGTCGAAATCATAGAGGTGAACGAGAAACTTTCTATCTTGACGAGGTGTTTTTAGAAATACAAATCTCTGAAATGTTTTGGAATAATCTAGGTGAAATATAATAGTCGTTTTCCAATAGTACACATGAAGAATGAACATAGTCGTTTTATTTTCCCTGTAGGTTATTCGGAATAAATATTATTTTTATTACAAACTATTATCTTCAATATCTTCTTCTTCATGCTATACATCAATAAGTTCATTATAATAGGTGAAATGAAAAAGCCCTAATATTTTTACATCTTGGATACTGTATATTTGTGATGGAAACACAGGCAATATCGAGGCTTCCTCGTAGAAGCCCATTTGCCAATAGAGAGCGACCAATTCGGTCCAATCAACGTCGAGATAATACAAGCAACAAATTAAATTTTGATATTATTAATTTTGTGGATAGACGGAGATCAAATGAAATGGGCTGGTAGTCAGTCTAGTTCGTTAGCCATGCAATGAAGTCAATATAGAGGGAACATTTACGAGATAAGGAGACAAAATGTGAAGACAATCACCCATCCACATAGGCTTACTGGGGCATGAAAGTGTGTGTGTGTTTGTTTGTTTGTTTACTAAGGGTCAAATAGTCACTATGCAGCGATGAATTATATTCAAGTAGGGTGAAAATCATGTGAATACTATAACGAAATAAAGAATAACAAATGTAAAGCGTTACGTTACGGTTGAAAATGACTACCGACAGTGGCATGTCTGAACATGGGTATAAAACTTGTAATAGACCAGGTTTTCTTGCTTTGATGCCTATAGCTTCGGTTAAGGATAAGATGCCTAGTCGTGCACCTTTGGAGAGACTGCAAAGAACACGATATATTGTAGAAAAGGCGTGATCTACCTGGATCTGAT